GAGAAAACAGGCAAGGGTCAGGATGCTTCTAAAAGTTGACTAAAGGAAAAATAAAAAATAAAGGAAATTATTTAGATAAATATATTATTTCAATTTGATTTATTATTTTAAGAAACATTTTTTGTTTGTATATTACATTTTAAATTATGTAATAAAAAATGTATTTATGTTTGGATTATAAAAGCTATTTTGTAGTTTTAACATTTGTATTTTTTATTTAAGAATTTTTAAATAATACATTTGTTAATGTAAATTTTAAATTGCATAAAAAAATCAATGGTTGTAGCATATATACTATTCTTTAGCTTTAATTAAAAAAAAATTCTTTATCATTTAGTAGTATAAGTATTCCAATATTATTTATTTGTTATTAATTATTTTAATATGTATGTTAGGAGGAGCATATTTTTGTAGCTTATATTATATATTTGTAGCTTATATACATATAATTTTTATTTATTTATTTTTGTTCCCCTGTAAATGTTCATAATATTCATTAAACTGCAGTATTGATGACAAAAACCCTCCTATAAACAACCCTATTTTAAGGTATGGTTAGGTAGGACATCCTGGGCAAGTTAAATCTCTGTTAAAGAAGTTTCACCTCTAAAGTCATCCCATTTGAAGCATCACCAGCCATCTAAGTGCCGCTTTTGTAATAAATCCACTGCCTTATTTCAAGCCTATTACTGCCAGACTTCAAATTGTCTACTGTGAGTAATGTTTCCACTATTATGTGTAATCCATTATCGCTATAGCTTTGCATAGTCATGATTTATAGGGGTTTATCCGGGTTATCTATCAGTTACCCCACTGAAGGACCGCATTAAGAGTACACATACTGCTAAGAAATGCATTTGATCTGCTTAATTTTACAGGGCTTCATTTAAAGCATCTCAGAACCCATGTTACTTCAAAAAACAGACTTATTTCCAGGTGAAACAGGAAATTCACCAGGAAAAAAGATCTGATGGGTCTTGATCTTGATAATAATTATTCATTACATTTATTTAACGCGCGCTTTAGAAGGGAGAATCTCCTCAACCACCACCAATATACAGCATCATCCTGGATGATGCGACGGCAGCCGTAGTGCGCCAGAACACCATAACACACCAGCTATTAGTGGAGAGGAGGAGTGATGAAGCCAATCAGTGTTTATATGTGGAGATGATTCATGATGGGCGGAGGCCACTGGGCAAATTTGGCCAGTATGACGGGGCTACACCCCTACTCTTTCGAAAGACATACTTGGATTAGGACCTCGGTTTAACTTCTCATCCAAAGGACTGGGCTCTTTGACAGTATAGTCTCTCCTCTTCACTTTACTGGGGCGTTAGGACCCTTCTGCTGGCCTCACTAACACCCCTTCCAGCAGCAACCTTGTTTTCCCAGGAGGTGTCCCATCCAGGTACTGACCAGGCTTAACCCTGCTTAGCTTCAGTGGGCAACCAGTCTTGGCCTACCAGGTGAAATGGCTGCTGGCGATGTAGTAGTAGATGTAGTTGATTGGATTGTCCAGATACCAGAATTGACTTTGGTGATTGTTGGGGAGAGATTGAAACTGGGATTTGTGTGGCTTCGGAGCAGAGTGTTTTCCGAGTGGAAGCAATGTGTGGCTGAACGGTATTGTGGAGGAAAGATGAAGCTGTCAAGTTGTCATTGGACTGTGTGTGGTTTACTGGACCATCTTTGCCCTCCTCTAGCTGTTTTACAATGTTTTTCTCTCTCTCAATACTAATCCTTTCTCTTTCCACACTTCTTTCCATTTTAAAGTTAGGATGATCCGCGGCATCCGCCCATTTACTGAACTTTTGGCAATTGTGCAAATCTTAATGTTATACTGATTTATAAACTAGTTACTTGAATGGTTAAGGTTATTGTAGTGTTATTTTATTTTTATTTTATTATTATAGTTTGTGTTACTACTACTAACTAATATTAATTTTTTTTCAGAAAGGATGCATTAAATTGATCAAAACGTAATGTTTTAATAGATTTCGCTCTCAAATAAATGCTGTTCTTTTTAACTTCCTATTCATCAAGAAACCCTGAAAATATGCATCATGGTTTCCATAAAAATAGTTAAGCAGCACAACTTTTTTTTAGCATTGGTAATATATATTTTTTTTATCATTTTATATATATATATAATATTTTTTTTGATAATATATATTTATTTTGTTTTGAGCCTATTAGAATGATTTCTGAAGGATCTTGTGACACTGAAGACTGGAGTAATGATGCTGAAAATTGCATCACAGGAATACATTTACATTTTAAAATATATTCAGATTTAAAATGGTTATTTTAATATTTCACTTTTCCCAGTATATTTTTATTAAAAAAAATGCAGCCTTGGTGAGAAGACTTCTTTCAAAAACATTATATTTATACCGACCACACATATACACACTTGTACAAACATATACACAAATGTGTTTGAGTAGCATGTCTCAACACAGCAAACAACTCGCTTTGTTTTGCATCTTCACACAAAGTTCAACATGTCTGGGCCGTGACCCGACCCCCCACACTTCTTCAGGCTGTATCTGTCTTCAGACTGCCAAGAACGAACACAAGGTTTGGGGGAAAATGCACGCCTCTTTAATTGCCCTGTGATTACTCCAGTTTGTTAACATTTTAGTACGGTAATCTCACTGTTAGAGTAAATCTTAACTTTCATCATAGTTGAGAGATGTTTGTGTAGACCTTTAATGACAGGCCGGGTGTAGCAGCTTCCCGTTTCAGGAAAAGAGGAAGAACATGGTAATGTAAACGAAAGTGTCTCCTATCTACAGGAAGGACAAAAAGGGACGAGAGGAGGGAAACTTCACTCGTTCCACAGAGGTGGGGGATTTTGCTTAACCCTCTGATGGTCTTCCTTTATTAGTCACGTCCTGGGCCTTCCCGGTCAGATGAGACCGTAGGCCTAAATGAAACTTCTTCCATCCCAGTAAAACCAATGCAATTTATTTTTGTTCTATAATATTTATTCTTTTTAATTTAGTATTTTGAGACAATTTGATTGAATTTATTAATATTTATGCAATATTTATGGTCTATTTGTTCAATGAAAAAAAAAAAATATATATATATATATACATATTTTTTTTTCTATATATATATATATTATTATTTTTTTTTTAAATATTAATGCAGTATTTTTGTTTAATATAGAGTCTAGGCCTTCAGAAAAAAAAATATTTTTTTGAAGAAAATTACACCATCTGGTTACAGTATAGAGAAAAAAAACTACTATATGTCATATACAGCTCTCTATGGAGAGGCATGAGAATTCCCCAGCTGTTTATGAACACATTTTTTTTTTTGGTGGATTTGAATATATGACTATTTCTTATTTAAAAAATTTAAAAAAATATTTCTCTTTTTGTAAATTTCCCATTCATTTCCTATGGGGGCATTTTTGACCAAAGACCAAAATCGTGACAAATTTTTTTACGACCACTTAGCATGCTCGGATCATGAACTCAATTTTTTTTTGTGTTCACATACATAATGCCAGAAATGTCACCAAGTTTCGTAACGTTCCGATGAAGCTGTGATTTTTAAAAATTCAAAAAAACATATTTTTTGTTGTCTGAATTTATTGGTGTGTATGTGTATAAAAGTGTGTTTGTATGTGTGTGTGTGTGGGTGGGTGGGTGTAAATTTTTTGCACTCTTGAAGTTGTACAGTGTCACCCCTTTACTGCGGTATACTTCTTTTAAGAATCGTGGCCGATTTGTAGATTGTACAACAGAATTTTTGTTTTTTTGTAAATTACCCATTCATTTCCTATGGGTCGGTCATTTCTGACCGAAAACCACGAATGTGACTATTTTTTTTACTACGACCACTTAGCATGCTCGGATCATGACCTCAATTTTTTTTTTTTTTGTATTCACATACCAAGTGCCAAAAAAGTCACCAAGTATCATAACCTTCCGATAAAGCTGTGATTTTTAATAATTCAAAACAGAAAATTATTCGGTCAGAAGTGACCGAGGACCATCAGAGGGTTAATCTAGTGAAACCAGGTGTAGGACTTTTTACTATATGAAATTCAAAAATCCCAACTTCTGTGACCTTAATAGCAAACATGAGAGAGAAACCTGTTCACCAATGCAAAAACATCCTAGATACCAAGTGAAAATCCCAGCCGTCAGGTACTTTTTGCTGTGTTGCCTGACCTCTGGTTTGTAAATGTTTAGCAGCTGTTCCACTGCTATGAGTTCTGCAGTGAAGTGGGCATCATCAACCTAAAGGAAATGATGCGTAGAGGCTGTCAGACGTCTTCGTTTTGTCCCTGGAGTGTTTTGAACGATTAAGAGAGTCATCAGGAAGGTCACAGTGTGTGTTTTGAGGCATGAATGTGTGCTGAGAGCAAGCATGGATGGGACAGGCAAACTCTCAATGCGATCAAGCATGAACAAACAAACTAAATCAAATTCAAATCGGTTTGAAACGGTAGAGCACAAGGAATATGTCTCTAGAGATTATATCTGCTTCAATTTGTCCTCATTGTGTTTTTTCTGCTGACTCTGGGTAATGTCTTTCTTTATGAGAATAGACAGATGGGATGGGAAAACATTTCATATTGGTTTGTTTTGTGGCCATATGCAAGTCTAAATTTGACAAAGTGTATGTATAACATTTTAGCAGATATCTATGCATTTAAAAAAAGTGTTTTCTGGGAAAATGGGCCAAATATATTGGTTAACAATTCCAATTTATTTTTTTCCAAATTACTTTCTTATGTGAGAATGGAATCCTCAACTGACTATTAATAGTCAGAATGTGACAAAAGTTTTTTTTGTCTTTGTGTCAAATGACTTCATATGTCATTATAAGAGAACTCATGTGCAATGTTTAGGCCCCCTTGAGTTTATAATTCGCTGGTCTGAACCTGTTTAACTTTTATTGGCCTATAATAAGAGTGTCCATTGAACTCGCCCCTCTTATTCTTTCTCTCACATTTCTTCCCATCTGCTCCCCAGGCACTGGCAGCTAATGCAGGCACGGGATTTGCGGTTGCAGAGCCGCAGGTCGCCATGTTTTGTGGCAAACTCAACATGCACATTAACATCCAGACTGGCCGCTGGGAACCGGACCCTTCTGGATCCAAAACCTGCGTCGGAACCAAAGAAGGAGTGCTGAAATACTGTCAGGAGGTAAAATAACGTTACACAGAAGAAATATGTCTATCCCTGCGTCCCAATTCACCTACTTATACTACGACCTAAAAGTGTACTCTTTTTGTGAAGAAAACGTTCATACTTTTGAGTGTGTAGCAAAAGAGTAGGCAAGCTTTTGGGACATACTACTGCGTCATCTTTAACGGACACAGATCTGTCGCGTGCATCCTATCACCGTAAACTGTCCTGTCAATCATCTCGTCACAGTTAAAATCCTCCATTCGATCATTCAGAGAGAAATGTTGTCGCACGTTCATCTGCCAGTTTTGGGTCTTTCATGCCGAGACTCTCCAAATGTGTTTGCAATTTGAATATAACGATGCATTTAAAAGTTAATGTCTAACGTATTATTACAAAAGTTCACAATGCTTCTGCAGATGCAATATAATAATGTAGCCCACATTGAATAAATACATTTTCGTCAGGTTAGATACTGAAAATTAATCACTCTAACCACTAAACATCTCTTCACAACTGCTAGACTTGCTGGACCTCCATGTCTGTAGTTTTTTAACACTTTTTAATCGTGTTTGTAGTTCTAACCGAAACCTCGTCAACCTCTGACCAGATATAGTAGACCATCCGGGTATCTTTGAAACACTCATTTCAACATACTACGATTTGGGACGAACTAATTCTATTTTTGAATACTATTTAGGAAGGATAGTGTGCGAATTGGGACGCAGCATATTAAAAACATTGCGATTTAGCTGAATTTTTTTTCTCAAACTTCTTAAGGTGTGAAAAGGTTGCTGGTTCAGTCCTTACAATCTCTTTGAGCATCCAGTTTTTACAATATAATCAATTCCTGATTGAAAAAAATCTTCCCTTATATCATGTTTCACTTGGAAAGGCATAGATTTCGTTGGGTTTTACACTGGCTTAAACTAACTTTTTACTTTTTAATATTTATTAAATTATAGTCTTATAAATTACATAACTGTTTAAAAGTTTTGGGGTCAGTAAGATATTTTTTTTAATTGAAATTAACACTTTTATTCAGCGCAGATGCATTAATTTGATCAAATGTGACAGTAAAGACATTTATAATGGTACAAAATATTTTTTCGGGGAAAGAATGTTTATCAAAGAATCCTAAAAATGTCTCACTGTTTCCATGAAATTATCAGGCAGCAAAAACTCTTCATAACACAAATGTTTCTTGAGCAGCAAATCTGCATATTAGAATTTCTGAAGGATCATGTGACACTGAAGACTGGGCCATCGCATTAATCAATTAGATTTTATAATACAGTATATTAAAATGGAAAACAATTTCTAAATATTACTGCATTTACTGTATTTTTGTTCAAATAAATGCAGCCTTGGTGAGCAGATTAAAAAAACAAACTTATTTTAAAAACATTAAAAATGTTTACTGACCTCAACAATTTGAACTGTAAACTTAATATCTACAACAACAACAAAAAATACAAATGGAAAATGTTTTTAACTATCTTTACATACAGTACAGTACTATCTTGTATATTATTGCTGTTGCTGCTTATTTATGAAAGGAATAAGCCACTAAAAGATCCTTTTCCACAACTATTAAAAATGTCAATTCTCTCATCTGTCCCATGGCTGGCTGCAAAAAAGCAATACCCTCCCTGTAGATTTTGTGATTGGTTTTCATCAATGTCCTTTTAATGGATTTCAGGAGAGAGTAAATCTTGAGTTAGTTCCAATACATGAGCAGATGGCAGCAGGAGATTGTGAAGCTTACCGTTCAGACTGAATCTCTCTGGTCTCTTCCCTTTAGATGTACCCTGAGCTGCAAATCACAAATGTGGTGGAAGCCAACCAGCCAGTCAAGATCGAGAACTGGTGCAAGAAGGACAAGAAACAGTGTAAGGGACACGCTCACATCGTGGTCCCCTACAAGTGCTTGGGTAAGTGATGTTTGATTGACGGCTCTGTTGTCCTTTTAAAAGGCCAATAATCCAGAATGGCTCACGGGGTTCAAGGTGCCATTGTGGAAGTAAGACATCTGAGAACCTAGAACAGCAGTTCTAAGATGTTACAGATCAAATTCAGCCCCTGAACTGGCGCTCAGGGAGCCGTTCGAGGCCTTTTACAAAATACTTTAGTAGCTAAAGTTAAGCTCACGGTTATATTACTGTCTTGCAACTTGAAACTCCAACCCCCCAAAAAAGTTCAGTTTGAACAACGCTGGTCTCAAAGGCCACGTACACACCAGATTTACACACCAGAGTAAATCATTCGCAAATGCGACCAAACTTCATGAGAGGTGACTAAAATATGTCTTTAATTTGCTCTTTCTCTCACACTCGCACACTCACCATGAGAGAAAGAGAGAGCACACGCAGGGCTCGTCGACAGAACGGTCACTGTCACAGTCGGGCCAGTCATACCAGTGCTGCGTTGTCCTGAAAGTTGATCATTTGCACGTGTTTTTAAGCCTTGCCAATTTAAACATTCAAGAACAAGCATATTATAAGAATGATAACTCGCCCAAGCTGTGTGAGAAGTGTCGTCTGCACAAACTGCACATCCCATAGGGCTGCAACAAACGATTATTTTGACTAATCGCCGATTATTTTGTAAGTTTGGAACTATTATTCAGCTTTTTAAATTAGTAAGAATATGTATAACTCAATGTTTTAACTATAATATAAAAAAGAAATGAAATAGTTTTTTTAATGAACTTAGAGCCAAATAAACAGGTCGTTCTCTTTAAGTTTTCAGATTTCTCAAATCGCATACAAATGCTCTCTAAGCATTGTTTAAAAGGCCCACTGCTTTTCTTAGAACTGAAACAGAAAAAGGGTCATTTACTTCAGGACACAAAAATTGTAAAATATGAATCTGCAAACCATTATTATAAATATAAAATTATTACAATCTTTTTTTTTTTTTACATGACAATTGAGCTGACGGAGGCGTTCTAATTCAATTTACCTTTTAATTTACAGGATAAAAAAAGTAACTGCCATGATATTCATCCTAACATCTTCTTTTGTAAATCTTCATGATTACGGAACAAAATTCAGGCGTGTGATAAGACTATAATAATAAAAACAGCCCTGATTCGTAAGCTCAATCAGGCTTTATTCTATGCAAAATAAATCATCACATTGCTGTAATTATAATATTATTGATAATATTATTACTATAATTAGTAGTATTGCATTATCTAATAAAGAGATTTACCGCTAGTTAGTTAGCTCAAGCTGGAGAACACTCAATTCTCACCGGCTCCTCTTTTGTCGGGGTGTTAGCATGCATGTTGTGCGCCAGTGAAAAGCAAGTTCCGCCTTGCATGTTTTGCACACGACCGCATTGTTGGTTTTAAGTTTTGTGAAACTTTCCCAAACCTTGCTAGTTCGGATTTGTTTGCACTCCGTCATAATAATTAGCGTTTTTTTTTTTTTTTCTTTTAACGCAATGGCATTTGTAAAGGGCTGCATTACACTCTAGCGCCACAATGCCGTAGTGGTCAAATCGCGATATTGCACGCCCTTACATTAGGTCAAGTTACATTAGATCAAACGACTACTCGACAACGACGATATTTGTCGACAATTTTCGACTAATCGTTTCAGAATACCGCATCTGACAGCACGCAAATACTAAATTAATCACTCGTTCACGTCGTCTTGAGACAACGGACAATTTCACACAAAATTTTGCCAAAATGTCTGTCTTGGCGAGTATCCTAGTAAACATAGTTAGTTATGTCCTGCTGTTATTACTGCTGCCTGTGTTTTTAACGTTAGTCATATGACAAAAGACTGCAAAAAATTACTCTGCTCTGGACTGAATAACTTTTGTCACTTTAATCTATATTTAATTTACAGTGAAGACTATGTAGTGTTATTTTACATTCGAATAGGCTACTTAATTCAATTTCTGCACCTAATCTGTATCTAAATACAGTTAGGTCTCCCTGTAAAACCTGAAAAGCACTGTTTAATTTGAGCTTCGTGTGTCCGTTGAGGGTTGATTTTAATGTGGGAGTGATTTTAGTGTGCTGCGATGATTGACACCGTGGTAACCATAGCAACGTTCTGGCGTCTCGCGTGATTATCCGCTATTCTGACTAAATTAATATTACAGTTACAATAGACTCGTTGTGTTAAGCTATTTTAACTAAAGCACAGTCGACGGAAGCACCGTGTTTTGTTAATTCATAAAGGCTGCTTCACAGAGCGTGCTCACTGTGTTGCCATATAAGTGTTTTTGGGCTTGTTGTTTAAACTTGGCTCATATCACATCTATTGAGTTTATGGAGTTATTAAATTGATATTAAATTGCGAGGTTGGTCGCAATATTTCGGTCTTATTTTCAGCATAAAGCTTTTTTTAACGGTTTTGTTCTTGTTCACTGATTTCCTTTCAACACAAATGAGTCATGGCTTGTACCGCTTTCCCTGTGATGTCTTGCGCCGCACATACATACAGATGAGAGATTAATCTCTGATCCAAGTTAAAACAAGTATTTTAACCTGCATCAGAGATGTATCTCTCCTACGTTTGTCATATCTAAATCTCTTGTACACGCCATTTACAACTAGTTGTTCAGTTCGGTTCCATACACACTGCGTAGAATTGTTGTAAATGACTGAATTGTGTGTTCGCAGAAAAGGATTAAGCACTAAAGGTGAACTGACAACTGAATTTAGCTGTAGTATACGTGACCAGGAAGGTGGCAGTGGGGTGAAAAGCCATTATTGTGTGGAGAACTTCATAGTAATAAAGCAAAATCCCATTTCCCCTTCCAGACAGAGGCTGGTGGAGATCCATTGGGCTGTGAGTGTGTATTGTTATTTCTCTCCTCAGAGGCGGCTAAAATACATTGCTTCGCTTCCAAGAGTTTTCCCAGCAATTGGCAATGACAACTTGGTCATTGGGGTGGTTTAAACTGTCAGAGTTTGTAAACTCGCTTTAGCACTCTTTCTTCACTTCTTGTTGTTTTTACTTTGCTAACAGCGTGTTCGACTCAATAACTGGATGTTTGCGATGGCATGCACCGTAGTTAACATGAAAACACATCAGTGGAGAATTTCTGTATAGAAATAGCAAAGAATCTGATCAGAAATTTAAATTGTGTAAGATTTTTTTAAAAAATATTTTGGAAAGATCAAAAATACAGAAATATTGTGAAATAATCGTAAAAAAAAAATCAATATATTTCCATAAAACCTGACCCCAAATTTTTAACAGTAGTGTATACTGAATCAAGATATTCATCCCAGTAAACCATTAAAGGGATAGTTCACCCAAAAATGAAAATTCTGTCAGTATTTACTCACCTTCATGTTGTTCCAACCCCGCAAGACCTTCGTTCATCTTCGTAACACAAATTAAGATATTTTTGATGAAATCTGAGAGCTGGATCACTCCTCCATACTAGTCCATAGGCTTCTTGAGGGATTGAAAAGTTATTAAAGACATTGTTAAAATAGTCCAAATGACTACAGTGGCTCAATCTTAACTTTATTAAGTGATGAGAACACTTTTTGTGCGCTAAAACAAACAAAAATAACGACTTTATTTCAACTATTCACTTCCTTCTCTATGAGCGTAGAGCTACGTCACACGTAGGCTCACTATTGGCCGATGCTGGTCATGTGTGTGATGCGTGTGACGTACAACAACAGAAGCGTATGCTATTAAACTAGTAACCTGACTCGCGCAGAGAGAGAAGTAAATGAATAGTTGAAATAAAGTTTTGTTTGTTTTGTGCGCACAAAAAGTGTTGTCGTCTTTTGATAAACATTAAGCCACTGAAGTCAGTCAGACTATTTTAACGATGTCTTTAATAACTTTTTGTTAATAACGGTGTTGGGACAACAGGGTGCGTAAATACTGACAGAATTTTCATTTTTGGGCGAACTATCCCTTTAAGCAGCACTTTAATTTATTTTTGCCATGGTGCAGGCTGGGAAATAGTCCAGAACCACTGAATATGTATTTGATTTATAGAAGGCGGAAGAAGAAATATATATATATTTAAGAAATATTATGTTTCTAGGTCACTACCACATTGTGTATTTAATGAAAAATGAAATGGCACTCAATGCATTCATAAAAGCTACATGCAGTCTTACTCCATAGTAACCACCAGACATAAATAACCACCCACTGTTAATTTTCATAAATGTTCTCAAACAAATAAATGATTCAATCCTCAATTTCCAATTGTTCTGCTGATCCACATAAGAAAAATAACATTGATCTCATTGCTTCTCAGTGGAAAAAGCTGCTGTCCGGCTGTCTGCGCCTTTTCCTCATCTCCTCCCCGTGTTTGTCCCTCTCTCGTAGGAGATGATTGAGTTGTGGCTCTTTGCAGACTGAAAAAAGCCATTAGCACTGCCAGCCGACTGTGAAATGGGCCGACTGTCAGAGGCTTTCCAAGATGGCTGATTTTTGTTTTGTGTGTGTGCGTGTTTGAGCTGACGCAGCAGCTGTTGACTCGCATCACCTGATGTCGGCTGCTGTTTGATTGACAGGGTCGGGCGGGCGACACTCTTTCAGTCCAGTGCTTCCTGTGTCTCTTTCCTCGTGAATGACAGCTAGCCAATACAGTCTGTGGGTTTGGAGGAATCTAAAGCTGTAGTCTGCTCATAGCAGCACCACACTGTTCCATCAACAACTTTCTCTACTTATAAGTCACCATGGAAACTGTTTTATTGGTCTGAAGTGGATTTTTTTTAAAACTTAATTTAGGATAGTTTGGGTGGTTGCTAGTTTTACTTCTGTCTTTCCACATCTCTGATTGCTTTAAATAGTAAAAGTGCATTTCTTCGCAACAAGCCCCATTATTCGAAGTGATTTTAATCATGTCTGTAACACAGATTGTCCACTCTTAGGAAAAAATGATTTTTACTATATTTTATTCCAAAAAGGTTCCAGAAATGTTCTAAATG